CGGATGAGGACTCAGAGGCCTCCAGTCTAAGGAGACAAGACCAGCTGAGGATCCGGCGAGGTGAGATAGCTGTGGCTTGTTCTGTCTCTCTGATCTACCAGCATGGACCCCAATAACTCGCCTTGGGTTTGATTTTATTAATAAGAACTTTTAAGATTCCTACTACAGTGTGGTCCAGATTGAAGGTGGATATTTCCACCTCAGAAAGATCCAGACTGAAAGTGAATCTTCCCACCTCAAATGATGTGATTAAGAAAAAAATCTCTCACAGGTATACCCAGCCACTTGGATTTTAGTTAATTCCAGATGTAGTAAGGTTGACAACCAAGAATAGCCATCACACTGAGCACTGACATTGTGAAATGCCATCATACAAGCTATTGCCATGACCATGGTTTTTGACAGTCATGCCACCTCTGTCTGCCCCATGTTCCTTTTCCGCACACTCATGTCTGTAGCATTGGCTTGGCAATGGGGTGCCTGGGTGGTAACCACTGCTGAGACAAGCTCCAAGGATACCTACATTGCCAGCACTTGGTTCTGGCTCTGTGATGGCTCTAAGGTGCCTCTTCCACTTCTGGTTCTTGAGGGTTACTTGTCAAGAGACCACTGACCCCACGGTTAGAGTGCAGGCCCTACAGTCTTCTTGATTCATGACCAAGGCGGTCTTGGGATCCCACACTCCTGGTTCCATATGCACCAGCTGCAGAACCACCTTGGGAGTGGGAGAGGCCCGTTAGGAAAGGATCACCTGGCTTTGGCCCAGGAAGGTGACACTTTACTCCAGGGCTGTGGGTACACCAGCTGTTTGGGTAAGCAGATGAGGCAAGAGCAGCCATGTCTCAGAGACAGCACTGTATGAGCGTGAGCGCTAAGGGAGCAGACAGGAATGGAAATGCTTTGTGAATGGAAAAATTTGTGGCAATTTCAACTATGCCCATGGCTGTGTTGTGGGACGTTGTCCTAAGAGTGAGAGAAAGGCAAAAGGGGCAGGAAAGGATGGGGCAGCTCACTGCTGGCCACCCAGATTGGCTGCTGGGTGCTGCCAATCTCCCGCTCTGTCTGATCAGAGCACACGGAGCCTGCCCCTGTCTCCTCCCACACAGCCTTGCAATGAAACCTGTGCCTGCCTTTCAATGTTGGCTAAAGTGGACTTTGTTCCTGTACATGCTTACATACAGTAAGGTTGCTCCTACCTAGGGCCAGCCTCCTCCTGGGTTCTGTGATGGGGTGGGTTGGTTTGCTTTATTTCTTGGACTAGGATGAGCTCCTTCTCTCAGAAGGACCCTTGGCAGGTTCTAGAAAAGCCAGTCTGTTCTCTGTATAATTTTTGTCTCTGTTGATTCTCAGGTACTTTGAATTTTACAAGGGGCCTTTAGAATTTAACTCCACGAGATGCCTGGAGCTGAGGCAGGAGATCCTGGAGGTGAAGGTGCTGTCCATGTGAGTGTGCCTGGGCTAGGAGTGGGTACACTTGGCATGTGGAGGTGGGGTGGGTGGGTAGACCCCAGAACCCCCAGAACCAAAGGAAACAAGAAGCACAAGGTAGACGTCTTAACCTGGGAATTAGATCTCTCGCTGGCGTTAGAAAGCCCTGGGAGCTGTTTTATAGCAAAGACCAGGTTTGCCAGGTTGCCTCTGCTGACTGGGTGTGAAAGTCCTCAGCTCAGTTACCAGCCTCCTCAATTATCATTGCAGGGCTCCTGTTGAGTAGAAATCCAAGAGGCCCAGGAGTGCCTGACCTGAAATTCAGCATTTTGTACTTTTGGGTTAAGCCTTGTCCACTTGATGTTGTTATTTACAACTTTAATTTCTTTGAACGTTTTGATTTGCTAATTATTTAAGTGATACAAAATCCAAGTTTTGCAAATGGTATGTGGTGATATCTCTCTCACACAGACATCAAGTTCTAGTTCCTCAAAGCCCAGTATGTCCTTCCAGACCATCGGTGCATAAAAACAGCTCTGTGTGGAGATTCCTTCAACACACCTTTATAGAAATGGCAGAGGAGCACCCCCTACTCCATCCCATCCCACAGTCCATCATCCACAGTGCTCCTACAGCCAGCGGAAGGAAGGCCTGAGCCTCATAGCTAGATATTCACTTGGGTCTTCTCTCTCTTGTTATGACTCCCAGGAATCCAGCAGACCTACCTAGAGGGATCTGGGTGATAGTAGTTACATCCGGGTCTGAATTTATTTAGAAACAATTATATCTGGACATGGACAAAATAAAATTTATACAGAGGTAATGTTGGATACTTCTATGGACTCATGGCCCCCTGGCATGATTCCAAGGTCTCTGACCATGGCTAGCAGCTAGAAGCCAGGTAGTGTGGGTCATGGAGAAAGTATAAGCTTTGGGTTCAGGCAGACCTGGCACTGAAAGCTGATTCTGGGTCTTGCCCAGCTCTAATTACCAGGCAAATTACTTAATTTCTCTGAGCCTTTCCTACCTTATAAAATGGAGGTGGCATTACCTACTTCTTAGGCATTGCTGCCGACTAGCGGAAACAGTTTATGAAATAGATAGCAAGCATCAACTAGAGGGTTGGGGTGGCACTGGCACTCAGTAGGCATGAGTACTCCACCATAGTCAGACATTTCTCTCCCACCTGCTAGTTCCCGAATAACCACTCAGAGGCTTAATATTAATTATAAATGCTTGGCCAGTAGCTCAGGCTTATTACTAACTAGCTCTTATTTTTAAATTAACCCATAATTCTCATCTATGTTTAGCCACGTGGCTTGGTATCTTTTCTCAATATGGCATTCTTATCTTGCTTTCTCTGTGCCTGGCTGTAACACTTGACTCTGCCCTTCCTCTTCCCAGCATTCTTAGTTTATTTGCCCCACCTATACTTCCTGCCTGGCTACTGGCCTATCCACGTTTTGTTAAACCAATTCAAGTGACAAATCTTTACAGTGTACAAGAGGATTATTCCCCAGCACTCCATTCTCTTTCCTTCCATTTCTTTTTCTATGGCAACAGCAGTTTTTCTTAGTTACACACAGACTCTGTGTCAGTGAGCTTTCCACCACTATAGTGTGCGTGAGGTAATAACTTGGAGGTGAGCGGGCCCATTGTTTTGGCGCTGTGTTGAGGCAGCCTGCCATCCCAGGGAACAGGAGGGAGAAGAAAGCTGCTGTGTTCATGACCAAGCAGAAAGAAAAAAAGACAAGGTTCCCACCAGCACCTTCAAGGGCCAGTCCTAATGACCTTGAGACCTTCCACATGGCCTTTACCTCCTAAATTGAGAAGCTTATCCCACAGCTTCTCAATATCATCACCATGAGAAACAGCCTTCAACACATAGACCTTTAGGAGACCTGTAAGGTCCATAGCAGACTCCTAAGAAACAGCCTTCAACACATAGGCCTTTAGGAGACATGTAAGGTCCAAACTAGCAGATTCCATATGCAGCTGCTGGAAGTCCCACGAGTGAGGCCTTGAGATAGCCCAGCTGGATTATCTATATGGGTTATGGCCCCATATTGATCAGATAACTGTGTCCTTTCTAGAGATGGATAAAGACTATCTCCTGTTGTCTGTTTTGCCCTGGGCTGAGCACACACCACTGTGTTCCCAGCTCTCAGGGAGTCCACAGCCCAGGGGGGGAATCTGACATGAGTAACTCTTAGGAGACAAACTCTTAGGGTAATGGGGAACTTGACCTAGGGTGGGTGATGCCAGCCAAAGGTTTGCTGAGGAAGGGCGGAGAGAGTTCTGGTCTGTGGGGTGAGAGTTGTTAACTAGACCAAGGAGATCCCAAATGGAACAGCTGGTGTGAGACCTTGAGACAGGAAGGACCCTGCTAGACCCTGGCTCTGTAGGACTAGAGCAGCTTGTGGGTCAGCATGTGAGGGGAAAATGGAAGCTGTGGCACCGGAGAAGTCATGGTGCCACCTACATCTTTTTCTGAGGACCGTAAGACAGTGTGGACAGGATTTTAGGCAGTTCATAGGAGTATGGACTGATAGATGTTTTGGAACGCTTCCTAGGAGTTACATGACGACGCCTACCCAGACCTCAGTTGGTAGCTAAATTCAGAAGCAGAAGGCCTTTGCTTGTCTTTTCTCAGAATTAAAATATTTGAGGCCTTTACATGCTTGACTGGGATCCTAGAGAACTCTTGTTGGCAGTGTTTCTCAGCGTTTTCAAAGGAAAGACAGTTAACTTTTAAATTAGAAAATATAATTTCTCCATGGATTGCTTCAAGGTCTAGACAGGAAGTACAGAGAAAGCACATAACCTGGCTGTCTTCATAACTTCCCATCCTTCTACCTAATTTTCTATATGATGTTATTGATTCCTACATCAGTTTTCTGGGGCCATCACCACAAAATTCCATGATCAAGTCATTTAGTTTCTTTTTCCTTTCCTTTTCTTTCCTTTCCTTTTCTTTTCTTTTCTTTTCTTTTCTTTTCTTTTTTTCTTTTCTTTTCTTTTCTTTTCTTCTCTCTTTTATTTTCTTTTCCTTTCTCTTCTCTTCTTTTCTTTTCTTCTTTTCTCTTCTCTTCTCTTTTTCTTTGTGTGTGTGTGTGTGTGTGTGTGTGTGTGTGTGTGTGTGTGTGCGCGCGCGCGCGCGTGCGCGTGTGCTAGGTGCTAGGTGTTGATGTCAAGAATCATCCTCCATTGCTTTTCCATATTATTAACTGAAGCAGGGTCTCTCAGTCAAACCCAGAACTCAATGATATGGCTAGTCTTGCTAGCCTGTGTGTGGTAGGAATCCTGTCTTAGCCTTCTGAGGCTAGAAGCATAGGTAGGCCACCATGCCTACCCAGCACTTAAAGTGAATTCTGGGGGTCTGAACTCCACTCTTCACACATGCATGGGAAGTGCTCATACTTCCAAGCCACCTCTTTAGCCCCAGATGAGTGAGTTTCTTCCTCCTTGTTCCGGAGGCAGGAAGATGAAGAGCAGGAATCGTAGGGCCCCTCTTTCTGGCTTGCTCAAGGTCATCCTTCCACAGTGAGAGTCTGTGTCTTGTGTCTCACTACCTTCTTACAAGAACACATTGTACGGACCAGAGCCCACCCCAGTGACTTCATTCCACACAAGTTTTGACTCTAAAGATCACTTCTCCAAATACAGTCACACTGAGGTCAGGACTTCAACATATGAGTTTTGGGGAGACACAATTCAGCTGATAAGAGTTCCCATTACAGCTGATATTTAGATACCGGATGAGAAATTACCAAGACACTTTGCTTTGAACCTACAGACAAATATTTTCGGGGATGTGAAGAGCAATCTCGGATTTCCCTGTGCCTGTGACCATGCTTGTTGCTGGTCGTGGGCTCTTTTTTTTTTTTTTTTTTTTTTTTTTTTTTTTTTTTTTTTTGGTGTGTGTGTGTGTGTGTGTGTTTTCATCTTTCCGTGGTTGTATTAGTTCTCTGTCTTGGGGATGCCTGCCTTCTTCCTCAGGATGGAATCCTGGGATAAACAGCAATCCCAGCAGCCCCAGGTTAGTCAGTCTGGCTTAGACTGTTCTTTCCATGACAGCTGTCCTGTCTGGGGACTTGAGTTGTGGAAGTCTAAGAAGGAGTAAAGACAATACTAAGTCATTCACAGGGTGCCGATTGTGTGAGTCTGTGGTGTGTCAGGGAACAAGCCCAGTGCCTCCCTTCCTGAATTCCCAAACTGAGGGTTTGTGGGTCCTCCATGGGAGAGATCAGAGAGCTCAGAGGCTGGCTTCTAAGTCCAGGTAGTCCTGATATTACCTGGGCACTCTTGGACTTTGCTGAGCTCCAGTCTCATTCCACAACTTGCATCACAGCAGGACTGACCTAAATAATGGGGAAAAGGTCAAATCCCATCTGTGGATGGAGGCAGCTGGGTGGATGTACACATATCCCTTCAGGCGCACAGTGTCAGCAGGCATTTTGTCTGAGGACACAAGGAGATGTGTGATTCCTGTAGAAGTAATTTTGATGCAAAAAAAAAATCTCTCAAATCAATGGTAAAAATCAACCAGCCAGAAAACCCCCCACAAGGAGAGTGCCCTGTTTCCCAACAGTGTCTGAAATAAGGGGAATCACTCTGATTGTCACGACAATGTCAGCTGCTGATCCTTGTTCAAATTATTTATGTTTGACTCCAGTCATTTGAGCATCTCTGTTTTCAAAGTCAAGCCTTCAGCCACTGCCATGTTCACACCCACATGGGGGTATTGCTTGAGAAGTCCTGTGCCAGCCTCCCTGGCTTCCTTCCCCACCCTGCCGGGTTGGACTTGGTGCAGAGTCCAGCAATGAGGCCAAACAGAGTGGCGTGGAGCCATGGCCCTGGCAGGAAGCCCCGCTCTCTGAACTGGGAGGTCCTCCATGCCTCTTGAAGCTCAGGTCCAGAAGGCTTTCAAAAGTCTGTGTGTTTCTGCCAGGTCAAGGTTCAGTGAAGTCAGGCCCTGAACTCAGGGATCTCAGACACTGTGTGGACTCAGCGTG